AACAATTCCAAGCAAAAGTAGCTGATCAGTACAGTTAAACCTCACCAATTCAAACAGGGAGCTTGAACCCTTCCAGTGAGGGCAAGCAGTGGCAGGAGGAGCTGGTGCTTATACTGGCCTGTTTCCTCTTCTAGAAGATGAGAGTGTAGGGTTGTATAATCAAAGTCCTTTTCTACTAATACTAAAACCACATTTCATCACATCTAAAATGTGATGAAATCTAAACATCATATTTTATATACCAATGAAAAAATTAAAAACCTGCCACCAGTTAAACACTTTTAAAGATGTCTCTAGGATGAATGGATTGGTCACACCAGATTCTTGTGGCCTCGAAATTCATTGAGATAAATTTGGTAACTTCTCCTGCCCTTGATTGCATTACTTGGTATGAAATAGGCAATCCTTTTGAATGATCCCAGTGACAAAATATTACAGCACTTTTTTTCTCCTTGCGGATCTTTTTTTCTAAGCAAATAAAGCACTTGCTTGTCCCTTTGCAAGAAAATACAGGATTGCAGTCTTTCCAAGGTTGAATATTTGCTTCATCGGTATCAAATTTACACTCTGCTGCTCTGTTTTTGAGACTTTCTGTATATACCATAACTTTTCATTTCAATGCTGAATCATTATATATTCTTTTCTAAGACATTTAAGTGGCAATTAAACTCAATGGTGTAGTACCCAAAGTGTACCCAGCACAGTGGACGTGACAAGCCAGGTACCTGTGACCATGTTTGCCGTGCTCAGGCAATGACATCTGTATCATGACAGCCACCCAGCAACAGAAATTGTTCAACCCCATCAGTCACACATGCATCTGATCTTAGACGTGTTAAATGTGAAAAAAAAATGAGCATCTTAGAATAGATTAATTATAGAAATAGTGAAATCTATGAAGAATTTACAGTATATCTAGCAAGGTACTAACGTCTTGACAACACTTAACGTCCATCAAAACTCACAGCAAGAAATATGTGCAGATAGGAAGTTTAGTCAGGTTTAAAAAACTGCCCCAGGTCACCCAGCTGGGTAAATTTCAGAGCAAGAATGCTGACCCAAACAACAGGATTTTCCATCCTGCCAGTTCTGTGATTCTGCCGGGCAGTATAAGCCATGTGTGCATGTCAACCATAGACTGACATTGGATTCCATTTACTTTCAAGAACATGAAGCATCATTTCGAATAGTCTTTCAATGGGTTGTTTAAATAGCTCAATCATGTAAGATTTTGTATAATGAATTGATAAGAATAATTTATAATTAGCACATCTCCATTGTATGCAAATAGCCAGTTCTTAAAGGGGCTTCTCGGCATGATTTCTGCCTTCATAACACCTGTGGGAGCTGGAGTGGCTGCCCATGGCTACCCTCACCACAGTGCAATGAGATAGTTAAATCATCACTATTTCCTGACCAAAACGTTGCCTGCAAGCTGAAATGACCTGCCCAGTGGCAACAGAAGTCCATTCATGGCAAAATATGGACCTAGATCATCTCTAACCTTGGTCTCCTGAGCCTCAGTCTTGCTCTTTTACTACTTCTCTCTATTGCCTTTCTCACAAAGTCATTTGTTTTTTAAATTTGTGTTGTAACATGGACTGCAAATGGTTTTTGTTAAAAACCATACAAGCTATTTTATTCTCCCAATGCTAGAAGACATGACAATGAATGACACTTTTCAGTGCGTGGGAGCCCCCAGCCCTGGCCCTGGGCTATCTGAGGAACAAGGGAGGCCCTTTCAGACCAGCCCAGAGGTAGAGAATGAAGCCACCAGGCCTGTCTCTGGAGGACAGCAGTGCTGAGTAAACCGTGGCTTTGTGGCGATGGTGATTCTGTTTCCATGGACAGTTAAATATAGAACCTGGGAGGAGCTTCGTATTTATGTTCAGTACTGGAGGAGCAAAACCCAAAAGAAAGGAGTGAGAGTGTGACTAAGGTCTTTCATGGTCACAATGAACACCAGCAAGAAGGAATTACCAAGTCCAAACAGTTGAAGATGGCCAACCTCAAGTCCTAGTCACGTCGACACCATGACAACTGTCATAGATTTGCACCCCAGCGGCTGGTGTAGAGAGATTGCTTTAAGAGAATACAATAGGCATTTTTAAAAATTGTCTTCTCAAATCATTGATTCATTTGGTTGGCAAATGTATACCAAGTACCTACATGTGAAAAGGGAGGGGATCGAGGGGCAAGCAGATCCTGTTCTCAGACTAACAAGTCATACACTCCTCAAGTGTGTTTGAAGAGACCCATCGGAACGAAGGCAGCAAAGCCGAGGCCTCTTCTAACCTGCCCCCGGTTCTGTTACAGCTGTAAGGGCGCCTCCCACTACGGCCTGACCAGGGACAGGAAGAGGCGCTCACAAGATGGCTGTCCAGACGGCTGTGCGAGCCTCATGGCAGCGGCACTCTCTCCAGAGGTTTCTGCATCTGCCACCGTCTCCTTAATGACGGACGAGCCTGGCCTCGACAACCCTGCCTACGTGTCAGCAGAGGACGGTCAGCCAGCTAGCGGCCTATCGGACTCTGGCCGGGGCAACCGCACTAGGGGTGAGTCAAATGGGTGGTTGTCCAGGAATGGGCTCCTTGCCTTGGGATTGCCCTCTGTGGAGTACTCACTGTGGAAAGTTCTAGAAATGTTTTTTTAGGGGAAATAGTTATGATAGTTTTGGCAGCCAACCAATGTCCAATTCTCCAAAGTGAAATGAAACCACAGTACCTCAGATCATTAAAACTGTGTGTAATCTGACTTGGTGAAAGGGGTTGAAGCTAGACCTAATGATTCATTGCTTCCGCAGTGTCAGTATCTTCCCTGCTGCACCGCTGGGGAAAAGCACTGTTGCATTCAGTTCAGCCCAGAGAGGGGGAAAGGCAGACTCTTAAACAAGCTGTATGTATTTCATTGTAGAAAATTTAGAAAATACAGGTAAGCAAATTTTATAATCCCACCACCTTAAGGTAATCACTGTTAATGTTTAATTGTATACGTCTTACCAGATGTGTGCATAAAAGATGGTTTCTGTTAATTCATAGCTACTGTTCTCATTTCTCTTCTCAGCACGGCCTTTTGAGCGATCCACTATCAGAAGCAGATCTTTTAAAAAGATAAATCGAGCTTTGAGTATTCTTCGAAGGACAAAGAGTGGGAGTGTAGTTGCCAACCAAGCTGGCCAGGGCAGGGAACATTCTGAAAATACCACTGCCCCCGAAGGTAAATGAACTCCCCCTCTAAGGCTGGACATGGGCGGGGCTTCCAGAGTGACTTCGGAGAGGATGCAACCTGACCACGCCCACCTTCTATGACCCCTCTTTTCCTAAGGGTATAAAATGCTTTTTATAAGATATTTTTTACCTTGCTTAACCTACTTCCCACATAAGTAGCTAAAGGCAGACATTATTATTCTCTTTTTACATAGGAAAAAGGTGTTGGAATCCTTACCTTCAGGTGCTAGCTTAATGCATATAAAGAATAATTACTATAGTTAATGAGTGAAAAGCATTTAAAACAGTGCCTGGCACGAAGTAAATGCTACATAAGTATTTACTCTTATTACAGCTGTGTATAAGATGTGGTTCTTGGGTGTTTTACATGCATTTCCTCTTTTAATCCTCACAACAACCTTATGAAGTAGCTACTGTTATTATCCCTGCTTTACAGATTAGGAAACTGAGGCACAGAGAGGTTACTTAGCTTGCTCCAAATTACATTTCTAAACTTTGAATCTAGATAATGCGGCTCTAGAATCCATGCATGTTTTCCCCAATATAAATAGAGCTCAGGAAATACTGTCCTACTTCTTTCTTTTCATTTTATAATAGAACTTTAGAGTAGTAATAATAGCTTAAAAAAATTGAGGTCTTCCTGTGTGTCAGGTAGTATTCTAAGTCATTTAGATGTTGCAACACTGTTAGGGATAAGGATTATTCCCATTTTACAGATGAGAAAACTGAGAACCAGAGAAATTAGGTGACTAGCCCAAAGTCACTCAGCTAGAATATGATAGAACTAGGATTTTAATTTAGGTCCTCTGGCTCCAGAGTCCACTCCCTTAAGCACCAGGTTATACTGCCCTACACTTTTGGGGGTTGGTAGGTAGAGCCCAAACCACTATATTTATCATACCCTCAGAAAATTCATGAGCAGTTGTATAAGATGCCTTCTTGCTACTTATTATCACCTCTCGCCCTGTACACACGCACGCACACACACGCACTGTATGCTCTAACTACTCTGAGCTTATTACAATCCTGTAAATACTATCTCGTTCTCTCACCTCCCTTCAGTTGTCCAACCTGTACTCCCACACTCCTTTCACCTGGCCTTCTAATTCCTCCTTCGAGGCCCGGCGTAGGCTCTGCCTCCTCCTGGAAGTCCTCTCTGACTCCCTCAATCCCCCTTTCCTTGTGTTCTTGAAGCACCTGGATCTCTGTCATAGCAGTGGTCACATTTCATTGTAACTGTACCTGTAAGAGCAGGGCTTCTTTTTCTGAGTCTTAATTCTCAAGGCCTAGCACAATATCTGGCACATAAGAGTGTTCACTAAATGTTTGTGCAATGAATAAATGAAAGGATTATAACTTCCTTTTTGCCAGTCTCTCCCTCCTACCAAAGGCTCCTTCATTCCACTCCAGGTACAGTGTTCTACTGCATACTTGAATAAGATTTATTTGCATATTTATTGAAATATTTAAAAAAGAGATTACTATGTGTAAGGCACTGGGCTAGGCACGGTCGTTTTGTATCTAGATTTTACAGTCCGGTTCCTGGCATCAAGGTGTATATTCAAGACCAAAAGGAAATAAAATCCTGTGAAGGGTGAGGTATGAATGAATGACGGTGACAGCCATAGGGGACGGTGTAATCCATGTTGAAGGAGTGGTTTATGACCTGGATGGACGTTGGGATGTTGACTGTGTGCTGGAAGGTAGAAGGAGATGAAGTTGATGTCAGATGAGAGAAGGTCCCGGATGCCAGTTAGGAGTCCGTGCTTGATTGGGGGGCAGAGCACACCCGAAAGCTCTCTGTAACAGAGTTACTGCAGGTGGGAGCCATGTTTCAGGAAGACGGAGAGAGCAGCCATGTGATATGTGCAGGGGCTGGAGTAGGAGAGAGTGGATTTACTCAGACATGCTGGGAAGCTACAACTCCAGAATGGGGTGAGGTGTTAAGATTCAGCTAGGGGCTGGCTGGTTGGCTCAGGTGGTTAGAGCATGGTGTTCGGATCCCCATACTGTCCAGCCACCAAAAAAGAAGACTTAGCTAGGCTGGTATCAATGTTTTTGCAGGATTTGGTAGGCAACAAAGCTTTCAGAAATGGCCTGTGGGTCTCACTGCTTCAGCGACCTGCAGTTAGTCTGGTGAGTTCTCCTGTCATGGTTTATCCATCCTTTTTATATCAGTAAACAGACTGGCTCCACTATTTATCAGCTGTGTTACCTTGGCTATTACTTAATTGCTCTAAGCTTCAGTGTTTCTTCATCAAAAAAAAAAACAGGGATAGTGACGGTCTTCTTGATAGGGTTACTGTGAGGACTAAACAAAAACACATGCATTCGAATTGCTTAGCTCAGTGCCCAACATATATAAACTCTTGATAAATGATAATAATTGTTATATCCTTCAGTCCAAGAGTGAAGACATTATATTGAATAAATTTTTCTTTCCAGCCCAACACAAGCAAAAACACATGCATTCGAATTGCTTAGCTCAGTGCCCAACATATATAAACTCTTGATAAATAATAATAATTGTTATATCCTTCAGTCCAAGAGTGAAGACATTATATTGAATAAATTTTTCTTTCCAGCCCAACACAAATTTGGCAGTTTAAAAATTACTTTAGTTCTTCAAGGCCACTAGGGTCTCATTGGTGTCGCTCTAATTAACATCGTTTACAAGTGTGACTGGGTATGTCCTTTCGAACTATCAAATCAAACACCCTCAAGTGGTTTTGGTTTGGGAGCATGGTTTTTGTAAATCTGTTGGGAAGGAGGGTAGTAAGGGAGGTGGAGGAGGGAGGGAAAATGAGCAGCTCTGATGATTATTTTCAAATCTTTCTTTGCTCAGAGTGATTTTTTTTTAAATTTCCATTTCCTTGTTACCAAACATGTTCTGACAAATGCTTGTGGTATAGCCTACTTAATGTAATCAAGGTAGTTTAAACATTAATTGTCTGCAGTGTCTGATCTTTCCAGATGACATAATTAAAGGGCAAATGCAGCTGTCAGCAGCTACAGGAGACAGAAGCATCTCAGCCCTCCACATCCAAACTTGAACCTCAAGCAATTGAAGAGCCACCTTTTCCAGCAAACTAGGTGTGGCTTGGTCCCATCACTTGTTGGTGTTTCCTCTGAGTACTTCTACTCAAACTGAAGAGTAGAAACAGTGCCAGTCAGTACTGCTGGTGTGTAGGTCCACAGGGCAAGTCCCTTGTGAACCCCTGGCTCTGAGGACCACCTAACTCTGTGACCTGTAGCCAGTTACATTACTTCCCCTCTTGGAGCTTGAGCATTCTCACTTGGGAAACAAAGGCTTGACTCTCACGGTCCAGCTACAGGGACTAGGGCAACTCTTCTCTAACTCTGTGACCTGTAGCCAGTTACATTACTTCCCCTCTTGGAGCTTGAGCATTCTCACTTGTGAAACAAAGGCTTGACTCTCACGGTCAAGCTACAGGGACTAGGGCAACTCTTCTCCATGTGGTCACAGTGAGGTGGGAGCTGGGGAGGGAGCTGTGAAAGATTTCTTGGGTAAAGCAGATTCCTGAGTTAAAAAATAAAGTTTGAAAACACCAGCCTAGATTATATTTGAATCTCCTTTTAGCTCTGAATTCAGTGATTCAGGCAGATCAGGGATGAACTTCCTGAAGCCACTAAGTAGGCCTTGGCCTCTTCTTGATCATGAATCAGGTCTCTTAACTTCCTTTTATTGACAGCAGTGTCTGGTAGAGAGGACTGCTGATTCCCCAAGCCTGAAAAGCAGAGTTCTCAGGAAAGAAATCTTCAAAATGATCTGAGAGGGCAGAAGAGCAGGTTTGTTCTGTTTTTGCCCCTCCATAAGCAAGTGATAAAACCTCAGTTCATTCCATAATGAGCATTCATTCATTCATTCATTCATTCCTGTTCACTCAAAAAACATCAGTTGAGTGCTTCTGCATGCAGAGATCTGTGCACAGAACGACAGAACAGCCACAAATTATGCCCTGAAGGATTTTAGAGTCCAATGGGGGTTATAAGAAATGAATAACATGAATAACAGTAATAGAAGGTTGAGTGCCATGAGAAATAGAGAGAAAGACTTATAAGAAATGTGACATTTAGAGAAAGCAAGGGAAAGAAGGATCAGGGTAGAGTTTAATTGGAAGAGATCATTTTATGCAGACCTTGAAGGAAAAATTGGGTGTAGGCCCAGGATGAAAAACATTCCAGGCAGAGAAACATGTGCTGGCACAGAGGCAAGAAAGTGGAAAACATGCGTGAGGAACAATGAATAGTTCAGTTTGGCTGAAAGCAAAGTTTGGCAAGAAGAAGCGTGGTTGGAAATGTCCATTGGGTGAATACCTTAAATAAATACCGTCTTTGTCTATTTCAGTCTTTCCAAGGTTGTATCACCTGATTCCAGATGGTGAAATTACCAGCATCAAGATCAATCGAGTGGATCCCAACGAAAGCCTCTCCATTAGGCTAGTGGGAGGCAGCGAAACCCCACTGGTCCATATCATTATCCAGCACATTTATCGTGACGGGGTGATTGCCAGAGACGGCCGGTTACTGCCAGGAGACATCATATTAAAGGTACAGACCATGGCTGTGGGGCTGTGATAAGGGGCTTAATATAAAAAACCCTTCAGAGCAAATGATCGGATGGATGGATGGAGGAAAATGGTAAAACAAATGTGGATAGTCATTTTCCATAGTTATGGTGTTATGACTCTTCATATGAGATTTGTAATTTAATCGTCTTTCTTGCTCTTGCACTCTCTTCTCTTTCTTTCTGTACATAAATATTTCTCTCTGTCTCTGTATCATTTCGTCTGTCTCCTCCTTTCCATTCTTCCTTCTAGCTTTTTTTTATCTTTCTCCCCCTTCTTCACCTGCTCTTTCTTCTCCCCTTGTCCTCCTGCTTCTCCTTTTATCTCTCCTTCTTTAAGCAGTGTTAATATAAAATAATATAAAACAGGAGCATATATTTTCTTAAATTGTTTTTAGAACAGATGGTTGGAACATTTTGTATTTTATCTAATCATGTTCACATACCCTTCTAAAGTAAGTTTCCTATTGTTTAATGGCCCTCCATGAAAATAAAAGTACTCCCTAAGCCATTTCCACCAACAGAGACCTTCCAGGGGAGACAGGTGGTGGAATAGAATGCCATGCCTCGGGCCTGACTGTCCTCCACGGCTCAGCTGAGGGGAAGGACTTTAAGGAGGAATTTTTAGAAGAAGAGAAAGGATAAAGAAGAGTTGTTTATCAGAGAGAAGCAAACATGTGCCAAAAGTGACAAGATATCCCTCCCTGCTCGTATATTTTCTATCTGATACTCAGATTACAGTTTCATCCCACCCCTTCTAGGTTGCTTAGGGATAAGCTCCTGTCACATCATGAGCTGTTTCTTTGGCAAACTAATTGGAATAAGAGGAGAGATCATTTAAAGCAGTTATTGCAGAAATGCTGGAATTCCAGCTGGTCTCCTAGGCGGAGTTCGAGGCAGGCCCCAGCAACCCCCGGGGGCAGATAGTGACACTCTGCATGGCTTCCTCCCAGTCCTAGTGGAAACTGTGCTGCCTGGGAGGGTTCCATAATAAAACATTTCGGTTCCTGTGGCCTTCAGCTGGCACTGGCAGGCATAAGGGCTGCCAGGACTCTTTAGCAGGCAGCCTCAACCTTCTCTTGGCCTGAGTGTGATGGGGCACCCAGGCCTGCCACCTTTGGTGTTCTGTTCCTCTGTGCTTGGGCAAGCGGGGAGCCTCCATCCTCCCTGGAGATGTAGCAGAGATCGGGTGATTGTGTACTCGAGGAAGGCCTTTCTAAAGCCAATTCCAAGACTCCTCTGACAGTTGGCTGCAGGTACAAGAAGTGTTACCAAACTAGAGGAGAAAAAAAGGTTGTTTCTCCTCTGAGGGGCCTCCCCACTCAAGCACAGCATGCAGTGCTGCTGTGAAGTTGTTTCTTCCAGGGCGGCCACTAACAGTGGGGGCTGCAGCCTCTGGGCTGGGCCTACATAGCCAGAGTAATTAAAACCAGAAGGTCTGATGCAGCGTCAGCCCTGTAGATCATTAGTGAGGCACAATTGAGAGGATTGAGCTGAAGGATATTAAAGTAGAATTATAAAGTGATCCAGCCTTTCAATAAAATAACCTAGAAACTTCCTTTCACATCAGCTTGTTTGAAACTGTGTGGGGATTTCTTTTTCGTTTTGTTCAGAACATGAGCAAAAGACCTTGTAGGTGGCCACCTTGAGACCTGACATATTATCACACGCGTGCGCACACACACACACACACACACACACACTTTCTCACACTCGCATCTCTCACACTATCACACATTGCTCACCTACTTGCAAACACACTCATGCACATACACACTCTCACACACACTCACACACACACACACACACACACACACACACAGTAGTCGGAACTGGAAGTTTTGACGTGGGTGACCCAGGCAGAAAAATTCAGTTGGAGATTTATGGAAAGAAAATGTCAATTTAGCTTGGTTTGAACAGCCATTTAATTATTTGACTGAGCCGAATGCGAAAATTTCTTTTCTTCTTTTTCCTTTTCCTACATTTTCTTCCTTCTTTCCCTTTCCACCAGCTAAAAAATAAGTTTGGCAAGAAACAGAAATGAAGGTCAAGCTTCTGTACTTAAATCTGTGGGCCTGTGTGAGAACAGGTGGAAGGAAGACGGTGTCTACTCATGGAGGCCTGAAAAGGTAGTGCAGGTCACCTGAGAGAGAAAGGGTTAGAAGTGCTGTTGGGAGATGGGGGTATGTGGGCCCAGGATGAGGAGAGAAAGCAGAGCCATCTTTAAGGATAGCATCCTGGATGTCCTGTGGGCCTGGGCCTTTCAGGAGGGGAGTGGCAGGTGGAGCTGACTGCACAATTGCTCCTCTCCCCCAGGTCAATGGGATGGACATCAGCAATGTCCCTCACAACTACGCCTTGCGCCTCCTGCGACAGCCCTGCCAGGTGCTGCGGCTGACCGTGCTGCGTGAGCAGAAGTTCCGGAGCAGAAACAACGGACAAGCACTGGACACCTATGGACCCCGGGATGACAGTTTCCATGTGATTCTCAACAAAAGTAGCCCTGAGGAGCAGCTTGGAATAAAACTGGTGCGTAAGGTGGATGAGCCTGGGGTGTTCATCTTCAACGTGCTGGATGGCGGTGTGGCAGACAGACATGGTCAGCTGGAGGAGAACGATCGTGTGTTAGCCATCAATGGACATGACCTTCGATACGGCAGCCCAGAAAGTGCAGCTTATCTGATTCAGGTGGGTCACAGGTTGTTCCAAGATCCCAGTAAGAAACTCCCAATATGAGCAGGAGCACTCATCACCCTGATCCACCCGCCCTGTAACCACCCCATGTAACATGCAATGCCTCCCTTTCGAGGAGTCAAGATGAAAGGGTCAGCATTTTTGAAGCTTCTGCCCAGGTAAGAACATGGTGTGTCTTAGGGTCAAGCAAATTGTGTGTCTCAGGGTCATGGGTATTCCCTAGGTGATGTGCTGCCAGCCATCCAGTCTGACCGCAGATAAATACATTCGGTTAGGTGCAGCGACCTCACAAGGTTAAGTCACTCAGTGTCAACAAGGTTGTGTGATCCCTGTACCCAGTATATTAGACACAGACCCAGGGGTCATTCAGATACATTCTTGGTATGTCCAAGACATCCAATTATATTGACTCCCACAAGAAGCTGTGCCGTGCAGCCTTCAGGGATCCCATGGACAGAGGCCATGATAGGGTTGGCTACAGCTGAGCCCTCAGCTCCATGGCTAAATCCACTTGACTTGGAAAGCACGTGGAAACACAATGTGAACCTAAGAGGAAACCCCTTAATAAGAGAAGCGTACAAACTATTGCTCACTTGGGCAGATAGAGTTCACAAGAGCCTGAGAGTGGTCCAAACTAATTCATTTTTCTGACCAGTGCAATGTTATCAAGTCCCAGTATGCATCTTATTGACTTTGGCTGGGTTACCATAAAATTTTCTTTATTTTCTTCTTTTAATTAAACTTATTTTGAGATAATTGTAAATTAACATAAGCCTGAGAGTGGTCCAAACTAATTCATTTTTCTGACCAGTGCAATGTTATCAAGTCCCAGTGTGCATCTTATTGACTTTGGCTGGGTTACCATAAAATTTTCTTTATTTTCTTCTTTTAATTAAACTTATTTTGAGATAATTGTAAATTAACATACAGTTGTAAGAAATAATACTGACAGAGCCTATGTACCAATTACTCTGTTTTCCCAAGTGTTAATGTCTTCTGAAACTATAATATAATATCACAACCAGGCTGTTGACAGTGACATAGTCAAGGTACAGAATATTTCCACCACCACAAAGATCCTTATAAAAGTTGCCCTTCTATGGCCATACCCACTTCCTTCCCACCCCACCTCCTCTTTAACCCTTGGCAGCCACTAATCTTTTCTCCATTTCTATAATTTTGAATTTCAAGAATGTTATATAAAAGGATCATACAGTGTATAAACTTTTGGGATTGGCTTTTTTCACTCAGCATTATTCTTTGGAGATTCATCCAGATAGCTATGTGTCTCAATGTTTCATGAGCCACCACCTTTATTCTTATAGGAACAGACTTCATTCTGAGTTCTTGTGTTCTAACCTGTTCATTCACTTCATTTAGTAAACACGTATTAAGTTTTCACTGCTTAGCTGGCCCTGAGTTAGATGCAGAGAAAAGAGATGGCGACCACTTCAATTGCTCTCCCAAAGGAGTTCAAAATCTAATAGGGGAGATGGACTTTCTCTATATGACTGTCATATGGTATGATAGTACTGCAATGGAGAAATTGAGTGTGGTGCTGGTGCACACACATGAGAGATTCTTGCTTGGATGAGCCTATGAATTCTTCACAGGGAAGGAAGATCTTGAACTGGAGCTTTGAGGATGACCAGAAATTCTCTAGGTGATCAAGGCAGTCAGGGTCTTTCTAAGGAAATACGGCACAAAAGCACATTTCACTAATAGCCTGTTAGGGAAATGGTCTATATCTGGAGCATGAGGTGCATATAGAAAGGCAGCAATAGAGAAGCAGGAATGGTAGGCAAGGGCCGATCGTGTAGAGTATTGTGAACTATGCTCAGACTTTATCCCTAAGGCCATCGGGTATCACTGGATGAGTTTAGGAAAGGTGACATGACCCTCTCGACTCATGTGATCTCTCTAAAGGCAGTGGAGAGCTGATAGGAAAGAGGTAAGATTAGGGGCCTTGTCTAAAGAAGCATTTGCAATTATCCAGCACACCATGTCAGCTTCCATTAGTAACTGGAGTATTAATACCTCCAAAATAGACAGGGACTTTGCAGCAATAACTGACAGAACCCCGTGCCGAGTTCCATAGAGGATGGTCATCAGACGACAGAGCCTGCCCTGAAGAACTTGGTCATCAAAGTGCAGATAAGTGTCCCTACCCTGGGGTCCAGTCATGGAGTTCTCCCAGGCGCTGGCAGCTCCTTTCACTGTCATGTGTAGTAACTTACCCTCTTCTTCAAGGAGAACCAAGTGGTGGACAGTATTATCGTCATTGTGGACATGGGCAGCCTGAGGCAGAAGGTGCCAGGGGACCTAGGTTAATAAAACCAGAGTGACAAGAGGCCTTTTCTTTCTAGGGTTTATGCCATCTATTCCCAAATTCATACGCCAGCCCCAGCGTCTCCTCTGACCACCACATGCCACTACCTATCCCACTGCCTACTTGGTATCTCCCCGTGGATGTCTAAAAGGCATGTCAAACTTAATGTCCAAAGCTGAACCGTTGGCTTCTCCCTGCTCCACCCCCAGCCAAACCTGCCGTCCCCTCAGTCTCTCCCAGTCTACAGAAATGGCACCACCATTCACCCACTTACTTGAGCCAAAAAGAATGATTACAGTCTTTGGCACCTCTCCCGCATCCATGTCTCACCACCTCCATGGCGTCCGTCAGCTGACCCGACGTCAGGCTGGGCCACGGCGAGGGCCTTCTCCCTGGCCTCCTTGCTCCACACTCGAGGCCTGTCTCTGTCCTCCACATGGTCGTTAGAATGACCACCTACTTGCCACTCTCTTGCTTTCAGTACTCTGAGACTTCCCAAGACGTTTAAACTAAAATTTCAAACCCTTACCATGGCCTGCAGAGCCATACATATTCTGGCCTTTGGTTATCTCTCCTGCTTCATTTCTTAAGTAAAGGGGAGAATTTCTGGCACTCTTCTTGTTTAACCATGCAGTCACATCACCTTCTTGCTGCTTCTCAAACATTTCGAGAACTTTTCCACCTCAGGGCCAATATTCTTGATGTTCCTCGGCCTGGAAGAACCTTCTGGATATCTGCGTGATTCTCTCCCACACTTTATTTAGGCCTCTCCTCAAATCTCACCTCCTCAGAAAGGCCTTCACTGACAATCTTAAGATAGTACACACATGTGCACACACATATGCACACACTCACACACGCATGCACGCGGTATCCTCTAATCTGCTTTATTTTTTTCTATGAACTAATTATTTTGTTATTGCCTGCCAGTAGAGTTAGTACAGTATTGTGTCCTGAGCACTCAGAGCAATGCCTGGCAAGAGTAGAAACTCAATAAATATTTGTTAAGGAGTAAATAGAGTTACATTATAAACAAGCAAATATATAAAAAGTATATTTTACACATTAACTCCATCTCATAGGGATTTGTTGTCAAAGCATTCACCAAAGAAGCACTAAATCTACTTTTACATGTTATTTGTCCCCAAGATATAATCCCTACTTTTTGTCTCCTTGAATTTGTTCCATGGTTATTGATTGAGCAGCTTCTGTGTGCCAGGAGGTGTGTGAGACAATGGTGAATGAGACTGGCATGCTTCCTGGCCACGTAGAGCTTGGAACCTGTTACTGTCTCTGATCTTAGATACAACGAGGCCAGCCTTAAAGCACGTGGTTCTAGCCCATAGGCACCAATGGTGAGAACAGAAAACAGAGCATGTGAAAACATTCACGCACGGAAAAGAAGAGTCTATTTATTTTCTTCATGAAGTAACTGCATTCTTAGCATGATTTTTTCCCCCTCCTTTAAAAACTAGACTTTTATGTGATCATTAATATATTTTCATGTTACACTTCATAACTCCCTCTGCAGATCAATCAGTGCAGCTCACATTCTGGAGATAATCTTTGCCAACTCTACTTCGCAATAGACGAAGGAAAAACTCTCTTACTCATGACATTTGGAAAAATCTTGATTGCATATGGCATTCTATTTTTGTAGATTAATAACAGAAGAGCAAAAAAAATTTTTTTTCCCTGAGAAAGTTAATTTATGAAATAAAATCTTGCCTAACAGCGGGACTTCCTAAAAGATTCATTTGCTTGCTAAACAAAACCAATGTGCTTTATAAGCAGGAAAAACTTTTAAAAAAAGAAAAAAAAAAAGCTAAGGCAAAGCTAGTTGGAAAAGAAATGGAAAAGTGGAATGCTGGAAAAACTCAGCTCAGTAATTTCTTGCTGTTTCTGAAGAGTGGATTTTATTTATGTGATACTTGTAATACACACCAGGCTGGGGGATTAAACTAAATACCCTTCAAAGGTTGAGATTCAGATTTCCAACCAATCTTTGGCTGTGTTGCCATCATATGTCTACTCCATGAATCACATTTGCCCTACAAAGAAATTCCCAGACAACATGTCCTTTTGGTCATGTTCTCTCTCACAGTACCACACATTCTGCTTTTTTTCACATTATTTCAGGGAAGAGTTATTACAGAGAGCCCACACTGTTTTAAGTTTGACCAATGTTACACATGTTGAGCCCTAACCTCAGCTTACTCAGCAACAGCCTGGGTTTGCCAGAGTCAGGCCTCTCTGAGGAGAAAATCCTTAAGGAGAAGGAAGCCTCAAATTTGGGGCAGTTGACTTATTTAGGAACTTAGTACAACTTTATTCTCTCCATTGTCAATTTCTCAAGTTTTTGGAGCACCGAGTCTAGAATAAGTATATGAAAGAGAGCTTTTTGGAACTGTCTGATGTCATACCTACCATAATAGAACAAAGAAATAACAGAGCAAAGATTTGAGACACTAAGAAAACAAGAGGTCTCAATATCCGGAACCTAGGAGGGTCAGCATACACCCCCCAGAATCAATATAAGAATCATTTATTCTGAGAGGTATGCCTATTTTGAGAAGCTTCTGTCTATCTGCAATTCTGGATTAGTGAGTTCATATTTATTTAGAAGTTCAATTATATACAATTAATAAGTAAAGAAAGTAGTTAT